CAAATTCGGTGCGATGTGAATTTGTTATGCACAAATTATGCACAAAAAAATGGTAAAGAAATTTTTTTATTTTTCCAATTATTTAAAAAAAAAGTGGTGAATTTGTGTGGGAAAATCGACGTCAAATCGATTTTGATGCATTTTTTGCAGTGTACGACCGATCCGAAGGCATATTTGGCATGCACAAATTATGCACAAAAAAATGGCACAAAAATTTTTCCGATTTTTTGGCCATAGAAAAATGTTGAATTGCATCCAAAACCGAAATTCACCTCAAAATATAAAGCTGAATAACTCATCAACCATTTATGCACAAATTCTAAAAATGCATGCACAAATTCGCACAAATTATGCACAAAAAAATGGTATAGGTTTCAATAAGATACTCAAAAGTGACTTGCTGGAGAGTGTAGGCCGTTTAAAAAAATATTTGCTCTTTCTCTATTTTTACAGTCAATCAATTTTAATCAATTTTTTTATATAAGGAAAGCAAATAAGTCAAAAGTGAATGATTACACTTACCGTAAGTGTCATGGACTGTGAGTTTTGCTAGGGGAACACAGATCTATTTTTATCTACTTTAAGCATCGTAAGTCATTCATGAACAAATTAATAACAACTTAACTTGATAGAAATCTGTCGTGCATTTTTCGATACAGTGCCATTCAGAATGAGCTATTTTTAAATAAAGTGGCTTCAAGTTACGAAGTTGCAAACAATACAGACCAGCAAAAAAAAATTGTCAGCAATTTCATACTAACTTATACACTTTTCATTATAAATAATAAACGAACGCATTTTAATGGACTGTTTGACTGAACATTTTGATGAACATTACTTTTTTTCGCTTTTTTTCATAAAAGCAATTATCATACTATTTATTTTTGGCTAAACCACATATTTTGCTGAGCTAGGCTCACCGAACCAAATAATTTATATAGGCTGTTGAAATTTATGTTGGCTATTGATGTTGCATTACGCCCTTACACATTACTATATAACTGTGAGTTTAAAATATAGTGTTGGCAGCAGTTTTTTTCGGATTACGATCTAAACTTCAAGTTTTTTTTGCGCATGGAAAAGAAAATCGTATCCCCTTAAGTAACTTGTGCTGTTTTCCTTATTTGAAAGTATATTGAATTTAAAGCAAATGTTAACTAGAAAAGATCATGCCTAAAAAGGTAAAAAATAGAAAAATAATCGAACTGTTCCTATACGTATAATATTATTTATTTCGAATTTTCTTTTTTTTTATGAAAATTAAACGAAACCGCAAAACCCCAAGAGCTCGGGTAAACATTGCTTTTGTGTGAAATTAAGTTAAGAATTATTTGTTTTTTTTTTCTGTTGAGTATGAATTTTTTAGTCACCAAGTATAAAAAGATGAACAATGGAAAACTTCATGGTCCAATAGTTATAAGCAAAAAATATTTTTATCATAAAAGAGTTTCTCTTTTTTCGAGTAAATGAAAGGCCAAAAGGGGTTTTATTTAATTTGGTAATCCATTGGCAGTACTGTTTAGTTCTGGTCCAATTCCGCCGGCCAGTCCATACACAAGCTGTGAGACTTCAGCTACCAGATGTTCAACATCCTGAAAATTTGATAGAATTTTTTTTTAAGTTTTGAATCAAGTGAGAGAATGAAATGACAACAAACCTCATTGGTGGCAGCTTCAGCATAAACCCGCACAATATCTTCAGTGCCTGACGGTCTTACAAATGATCTTCCACGTGGGTACTTTGCAACAATTTCATCAATGCCATTTTGTAATCCTTCTGGTGTTACAACCTTTCGTTCAGCGTCGGTGGTTGTGATGATGTTTCGATTGGCCACACAGATTTTCTTTTGTAAATTTGGAAGATCCGTGTATGTATTGTACCTAAGGGGAGAATCACAAAAGAAAAGAATGAATAAACAAAAAATAACTAGTGAATAGTCGAAAAAGAAGAATATGTATTGTACCAATCTTTCACATCCCATCCGTTTGATTGTAAAATTATCTCCACTAAAAACATATCGGAAATGGCATCACCAACGGTTTCGTTGATTACTTCGATGGTGCTTAACAATTTTTTAGCTGCTTCAATTTGTTCTTCATTCAATCTGTTTTGGAGGAATTTTATTTGATAAACATTCAGTTGAGATTGAGATTATTGAAGTTATCAAATGTTGCCAAATGTCTTAAATGAACAATGGATTTTAAAAAAGTGAATGAATCAAAACAGTATCAATTGCTCACTCTGAATTATCAGCTACGGCACGCACAGATTCCTTGGTATGTTCACTAAAAACAATCGTTCCATGTCCATTTGCTTCGAAGTACACCCCAATATCATATTCGAGTGCTTTGTGATGCAAATGTTTTACACCCGTTGGCACACAAGCAACTGGAACTTTCTATAAAATCAAGAAATTCACTTTAATTCGCATTCAGAAAAGATGTTGATATTCTTTTTTTTTATCTTACCAGCTCTTTTTCGATGTAATCGGTTGAGCCGCCATTGGCATAAGCCGTTTGTACAATTCCCAATTTCAAGTCAATTTCGCATTTGGTAACCAGGTCCATCAAATATCTGAAGAGATAAACCAGAGAAAATATGCGATTCAAAATATGTGTCCATTTTTTCTTCTGTTCAACCTTTTCTGTTTCTGGTACATTTTACTTCTAATTTAAAAAAAATTAAGTTCAAATAAATCTTCAATTACCCAGCATACAAAGTGGCGATCCGATCCCCATCGAGCAAATGAAATTTCTTCTTTTCATCTGTGAAAAAGTACACAACACGATCAGCATCGCCATCAATCGAAACGCATCTTGTGTATGGTTCCGAATCAGGTGTTCCAATGGGCAAGGTTTGGCCGATTTTTACATAATCGGCACCACACTGTGTAAGGAAAACAAATGTTTTAATACATTTAAATTGTTTCTTCTGTAAAAAAACTTACATTTTCATTGATTTTTCCTTCTCCTTGATTATAAACAGTGACATTGAGTTCATCATTCATTCGTTTGAGAAACTGTAGCATTTTCCGTGCACCAACACCATTTGAACCATCGAATAGCAATTGATTTTTGTAATTGCCACGTTCGCATTCTGATCCGCGCAATGCTCTGAATGCAGTTATTAGTTTTTGATAATATCCTTCTTCGGTCGGTGTGCCATACGCGCCGCATGAATTTGAACAAAGTACCATGTAGTGTAACATCGGCGTGGTAACAATACCAAACGATTTAACATTTCCTTTCAGCGCTAGAACACCATCTGAAACGGCTTTCAACAAACCAGGGCTATGGTATCGATTATCCATACCAACGAACACCGATGACGCTGAGCCCATATCAATGTTGTGCGTTTGAATGACTTTCTCCACTTCACTGAAAAATTCGAAAAAAATGAATGTGAATTTTGAGAGAGTTAGAAATGACGACAAACCTTTGTAAATCTTTGTCACTGACGTTTGCCAAATCCGTAGCAAGTTGTTCCCAACTATTTTCCAACATTTCACCTCTTGGATCGATTAATTTCACACCATTATCTGGTTCTGGATTGTGCGATGCGGTTATCATAACACCAATCGTTTGGCCACCTTTTACACGTGATCGCAATGTCGCCAACAGACCCATTCGATACATCACATAATCCAATTTATCGGCCCTGCAAAATAAAATAAAAGCAGTCACACGATTAAATGAAATCGTTGGTTGCACGCAAAACTTAAAGAAACTAGATGGTTTTTATATTCTAATTGGAATTGCAATGACGATGAAATAAGCTCCAACAATAGCTGTATTTTTATATTGGAAAAAACACCATGTCATCGATTTTAAAAACGATCCGGCTGCCTTTCTTTGTTCGATGAAAAGAAATCGATGACACAATTCTACTCGCATTTTACTGCGAACGTTAGTTTGTATGGCTGGATTACCATGTCATGATAAGCGTGTGCATTATTATCAAAGCCGCAGGCTCTGTGTTTTTGTTCTAAATGTGTCAATGTCATTACAGAGTTTAATATTATTGAATATGTTGCCTTTATAGTGACACAGTTTTATGCTCAAACGGGGATTTTAATGAGAAATCGTGTTGCTTTCATGCTTCGATGTTAATTTTGCAGCAATTGCGACTAGGAAAATTCATAAAGACTGAATCAACTCTTTGTACGTTGATTTGGGACAATCATATATTTATTTGACGAGTTTTGCTGACGCAAATATACTTTTATATCGGGCCATATTCGAACTAACAATTAAATTTTATAATTCGACTATTTTTAATTTTATATTTTTTTTATTTATTTAGCTTTTGCTCTTTTACTTTTCCGCACACATAGTGTAAGGTGAAAAGTATTGTAATCGGTCAAAATTTTGGAAACTTCAGAAACATGTTTTCTGGACGTTTCTGAGGTCAGAGAACCCGAATCAGGCCGTTTTGAGCATGGTTTATGTTAATCTGTACGTTGTACGTCGTACGCAAAATTTGTTAGCAAGATTGCGCTCGTCGTAGAAACTTAATTCAAATTCTGACAGGATGATTGGGGGTCGCGAGGAATAGAAATCATTAGCTTTTGAGCGACTTTGGTTGATGGAAAAAAATGTCATGCCTGGAGTGATACCTATGAAAAAGAGTCCAATTTTCGTCCAAAAGTCATACTTAATGTAGATTTAAACACTCAAAAATATGTATTGGGGGATTTTTTGGCACGAGAAAACCGAATCCGAGGTTAGTTTTGAGATACAATCAATTTTTGATACAGTTTCTTTGAAAAAATCACAAAAAAATTGAATTTTCGTATGGGAGCCATGCTTTTATGCTATCGTAATGACGTGAAACTTTGCACAGTCTATTTTTTACACAAAAAAATAAAATGTCTTACATCCGTAAGATGAACTTTTCCGCACTGTGATCCACGACATGAAAGAAAACTAAATCTGACATTAGTTTTAGATAAAAATAATTTTCGAAGCACTTTTCTTACAAAAACTACTAAA